TGTCAGCCGACCGTACATCAATTCCATCGGTAAACAGCTTCCTTGACACAGGAGTGTTTGGCAGTTACGGAAGCCCGAGAGTGTTGAATTACATGTCAGGGGCAGGGCAGATTTAGGAGCGCAAACGGATTTTAGGGTTAGTCCATTCGATAAACATGACATCCTAGATAGTAGAAATTAAGATCAGATGTGAATGTTAAGAATAAACAAATTTCCGCACGGGATAAGTAAGAGGTAGAATTTCTGAATTCACAAGCACAATCAGATGGACCAAAACAGCAAGAGGCCAAGCCTCAGCTATCCGTAGTTGAAATCGGGCACCTTGCATAAATCCCCAAAGCTGTATTTTATTCCATTGCCCATTTTTCCCGCAGCGGAAGGGTGAGATCGTTCGATCGCCTTGCCACTCGGGATGCCGGGCCAGTGAGCTATAGAGACCCGACCTATAGAAATCAGCCAGTTGGTTTGGATGACGATAGAATCTGCCGGTTGCGCCTTATCAGGCAAGTCCTTCGGATATGATAACAAGTCTCGGAATTGACACGATAAGATGACCGAATTACCGAAGCCTCAACGTACTTTTGACATGGGACCCTGTAGATCTTCGATAGCCGAAATTCGAACTATTTCGGACAGGTGTATGAAGGATTTTCCCAAAACTTTTGGGGGTTATTTGCAAAAGTACGCAAGTTGAGGACGATCCAGTGTGTCTCCAAGGCCACTGACGTGCTGGAGTGGGTTGGCCTTGCTCCGTCGCGACGCCATCGGATCGAGACGATAGAAGGCAGGAAAGGTCAGAATTTAAGTGGAGTGACTGTTCAGTCAGCCAAGGGTAGAACCGTTTGCACAGTGCATTGAAGTGTAGCGTCGCTTTTTCCATCAGTCGAGTCCGATCTTACAATCACAGTCCACTATTGTATCTCGAGGTATCATTGTATGTTCAAGTTGTTGTGTAAGCAATCAGCACAACTCGAGAACCCAGGCAAAAGAGACCATAACAACAGTCTCTAGAAAGCGCAAACATAAGCGCCAACGCCATCATGCAACGCAACGATGCGATTCCTGATGAGGCACACGGGGTTGACGGAGAACACGACGATTCGTCCACACTAAGAGGATCTCATCAGGACCTGGATGTCAAACGTCCTCAGTCACTATCTGGCGAGATTGCGTTCATCGTCGTTGTCTGCATGGCCCAACTTCTGAGCCAAGCTGGTCTTGGACAGGTGGTTTCAATCCTCCCTGTACTTGGGGAATCATTTGGTATCGGCAACAACATGAGTCAACTTTCGTGGTTTCTAGCAGCCTACTCTCTGACAGCGGGAACATTCATCCTAGGTGCCGGTCGTTTGGGCGATTTGTACGGCCATAAACTCCTCTTCACAGCTGGATTTTTCTGGCTTGCGATCTGGACACTGATTGCCACGTTTGCGGAATCCAGTGGGCCTGTCTTCTTTTGTTGCAGTCGGGTTCTTCAGGGCATTGGCCCTGCCTTTCTACTTCCCAATGGAATGGCTATCCTGGCGAGATCATATGAGCCAGGGAGACGCAAGGAGATGGTATTCGGCGCCTTCGGGTCTACGGCACCCAGTGGATTCATATTTGGAGGTCTGGTTTCCGCTCTCGCTGCCAAGTATCAATCGTGGCCCTGGGGATTCTGGTTTCTGGCCATTTTGGAAGCCGTCTGTGGTGTTGTTGCCATATACTTGATTCCACATACCCCAACACCTCCAAAGGACACAACGCACGGTTTATGGGCGAGGATGGATATAGCTGGATGCGTCACAGGGATTTGCGGCCTCATTCTTTTCAACTTTGCGTTGAACTTGGCCCCCGGAGCGCAATGGCAGGGCCCATATATCTATCTCCTCCTGATCGCTTCGTTGGTATTCTTTGGTCTATTTGGATACATTGAGCGAAAGGCGACTTTCCCCTTGATTCCATTTTCAGCCATCACACCAGACATTTGCTTCGTCCTGGCCACCTTAGCATGTGGATGGGCTGCTTTTGGAGTCTGGGTATTCTATGGCTGGGAGTTTGTTCAGAACTTTCGAGGCATCTCACCTCTACTTGGCTGTCTGCAGTTTTCGCCTGCAGCCGTCAGCGGGTTTGTTGCTGCCTTCACAACAGGGTTGATCCTTCAAAAGATGCCTGCAAGTTTGGTCATGATGATCTCTGCGGCGGCTTTTTGCACAGCGGATATTCTCTATGCCACCATGCCTATCAAACAGAGCTACTGGGCGCAGCTGTTTGTGTCGATAATAGTAATGCCTTGGGGCATGTGAGTTACTTCATGGCTATGTCTCGCTCGCATCGGTGTCCGTACTGACTGAGTGTAACCAGGGAAATGTCCTTTCCAGCTTCCAATATTCTACTTTCAAATACAATGCCTCAAGAACATCAAGGAGTATGTCCATACCCTACTCAAACCCTTCCAGAAGGCCTTGGAGCTAAGTCTCTTGATGCTGTTTGATGTTTCAACTTTGGGAGTGTGAAAATAACTAACATTGTGATTGCAGGTCTCAGCCAGCTTGGTTGCAACCATTATGAATTATGCAATCTCTTTGGGCCTCGGTTTTGGTGCAATAGTCGAGACTAATCTCAACAAGAACGGAACAGATCTCTTGAGGGGCTATCGAGGAGCCTGGTACTTAGGCGTCGGACTTGCTGCGTTTGGCATCATCCTCACGTTGTTTTTTGCTCTTCATGAGCACAGGAAGTCTATTCAAACGAAGAAAAAGGTTGCTTTGGGAGAGGAGCAGTACTAGTATGGACTGACGTACCTTTTGAAAGATCTGGTGTGTCAGTCGAGTCAGTATGTGACTGCTAGCATAGTTCCTGGGTCGAAGACAGCACATTGCTCAGCCCATCCAAAGTAAGAAAAAGTCGGGTCACAACCTTGGAAATATACAGGGGACGAAGAAAAGAAAGATAGAAAGGGACAGGGTAAATCCATAAATCAATACCAATGTCTGCCGATTAACAAATAAAAAACACAGAAAGTAAAGGAGCTTAGGTAGAGACATAGCATTTCCCGCCACTCGCAAAGAAGGCCTCTTCTCTTCCCTTCTCTCCTCGTCATGCTCTATTTTATCTCTCCAGCTTCAGTTTCACAATCAAGGGTATACCCCAATCCACCCGTCCATGTCTACTTTTTCAAGGACAGTAAAGACACCCAAACCCAAACAAGCGCCGCATCCCACACCCACCAGCTTCCCATACTGGGTCTGGTCTGGTCTGGTCTGGCATGTCGTAGCGTAGCTTACTTAGTTCATAGCAAACCAAGTAACACTAACAACAACATCGAGCCCCCGCTCCTCAGCACCGGGGTACTTGAACGTCCACATGCCGTCGCGTTTGACATCCCAGAAGGCACCGGAAGCAGAGTGCATCCCACGCTTGCCGGCGTTGGTCTGTGTTCCGTCCGCGGCGGCGGTCTTGTCGATGAGTCCCTGCTGGACGATCGTGCTGTTCACGGTGAAGCGGTAGGGGGCCGGGGTCTTGGGTTCGGAGTCGGCGGGGGCGGTCGCGGTGATTAGGGCTTTCAGGATGGTGTTCTGCATTAATTTGAATTGCATTGGTTAGTCTCTTGTTGGTTTGTGGCGCGACTTTTGAGTATGGATAGGACGGTTCTGGGTTGGGTTTGGACGGGCTCACAATGATGGAGGAGTTCCACTCGCTGACTTTCTCGTGCTGGTATTCGGTTGTTTCCTTAAGGGCGGAGTCGCAGGCCTAGAGGGTGGTTGAAGAGCTTGTTGTGAGTTTGGGATGTTTCGGATATCTTTCGTTTAAAAGCGAAGGTGTTGCTACATGACATACCTCGGTGGTGATCTTTGTCAATTCCGGGATTGGGAGGGGCTGGGGTGTATCGCTGTTAGCAGGGTTTTTGCCATTGCTTTTCGTAGAGCTCTGCTGCTGCTGCTCCTTTGCTTCGTCTTCAACCGCCTCGGGGTATACTAGTCGGGGAATGCGGTGTAACGGCGAGAACATACCGACGAAGGAGTAGTGCCGTCGACAGCCATTGTGTATGTAGAGCTGGTGGGGAGGTTTCTGAAATACTATGCAAGGACCTTCAATTAGCACATGTCTTCTCGGGGCGCGGTCCCCGACACGCTGTGGCCTCTGCTGTCCCCGCCGCACCTCCGCGAGGTCGCGTTTGTTCATGACGAATGTGGAGGTGGTCGGTGGGGCTGGAGGTTGGTCGGAGCTGGATTTGCATTGTCTGAACCTGGCTGGTCGGGGTGTGATCTCACCGGAGAGTATCTTTGAGGAGAATTGGTCGTCTTCAAGATCGAAAGTGAATTGGCAGAGTCGCAGTGGTCGGGATTGTTTTGGTGGCATCATCGCGTGGGCGTTGCGTGTTCTGATTGGCTACTTGTTAGCGCGGGCTGAGGTAAGCATTGAGCTACTATAACGGTTCATTATTGGGGAAAGATAAGAGATGCACTCTTCCAAATTACTGAAGGGATTTGGTGGATGCTACTAGTACTTCTAAGGTTGTGGAAACCTTCAAGCTATTCAAGTTCCTTTTAGTCGTGGATCGGATCAGTACCTAGGTAGTAGGTGTCTGAAGGCGGAATGCGGCTGAAGAAGTATATATTGAAGTTCCCAACCGAGACAGACGAAGAAGCCACCGAACTTTCAAGTTACTACTACCAGTAGAATCATTGAGTTCAATATCGCTCGATGGGTGTGCCGGGGCGTTTTTGGGTGCCCAGATTGTACCTTTGTTACTTGTTATCGGTAAAAACTGAGGTTCTGTTGTGGTCCGAGGATTCAGTGGCAGTAGCGGGCAACCTTAGAAAGAGGCAGGTATAATAGTAGTTAGATACTAGTATTAGTAATAAGCAGACGGTGTACTAAAACTTGTATTTTGGAAAAAGGCTTGGGATAGTTTGTAATCAAATACATACAATTTCCGAGATGAAGTCCTGCTACTACCTAGTACGAGTATCTCTCTGGAATTGGAACAAATATAAAATAAGAATGGGAAGCACCACCTAAACAGCCGAAGGCTCTTTCAGAGTTAAACGCCCAGGTTGCTCTAAGATAATCAATGGCCCAGCAACAACACTCTCCTCGGTCGGGGCATCACGCTGATCGGCAATAGAGACAATAATAATTCCCGAGTCTCTATCAAAGTGAGAAGGAATTTTGACGACATTCTTCTTCGGATCATACGGCACGCTAACTGTATTAAGGCCGTGATAAAAGACCGCGTAGTACTCCTTCTCATGATCGAACTTGGGAGCAGTCTTCTCATCATCAAAAACAAAACGAAGCTCCGACCCTGGTCTCGCAGTAGTTCCGTTCTTGCTAAAGGCCAACTGGGGCAAATCCTGACGAGGACTGGGGTAGATTGGATTCTCGTCGGGACAGCTTCCAGGTATAATGAATGCGTTTGTAGAATCGAGGATCTGGTTCGGATAAGGATAGACCGTATCAGAAGGTCCGGAAAATGGACTGGTATTCCAAATATCAATTAATGACCAGACATTATGACGCGTTTCCACTTCTCCGATTGCCATAAGCGCAGATTTTGAGACATTGAGATTCGCTTGACGGGCGAGTCCGGTCAAGAAGGCCATGCTGGACACTTCTAGGTAGACTTGTAACGCGAGCCATGTCTGAGGATCATTGTTAAAACCATATCGGTACTTACATGGACCGGGCTTGATGGAGTTTTTGGATATCTGGTCTTGGAAGATGCGAAGGTGGCCGGCTTCATTGTCGCGAATTTCAAGAATCCGCTGATAAGTGGAGTTTGGCAGACCAAGCTTTGTGAAAGACGAGAAGGAGAAGGCCTCGGCAGCTTGTTGGTAGAAGGTATATATGGCCCATTCGGCACTCAGTAGGTTTTGGAAGAGAAGGTCGTCGGGACCGGCGGGACCTGAGCTCGTCGCTGCAATGACCCTGAAATATTCGACTGCAATAGGAGTGTATTTGCCTGAATAGGTGTTAAAAAAGGCTGATTCACCGGGAACTGCATGGTCCGAAGATTGGAGGTTGGTTGGAGGCGATGTTGTGGGCAAAGCTAGGGTTGGAAAGGCAATTGCCAAAGATGCAATCAAGGTAGAGACAATCATTTTGAAAATTGAATAAAAATTTTGATCTAAATGATATATTCAGCATGTGCTGTGGTTTTCACATGATTTATATAGGCGAGGGCCCTGGAAAGGAAGGGCTCATAATTCAACACGCAAGATAGCAATTGATGGATCGGGCAGTGCAAAATGATCCAAAAGAATCGCTTTTACTCGATGAGGCTGAATCGGCGAGCTGTAAGAGCCGTTGGGCTGGTGCGACGCGTGGTCAGTGGAGACTGCAACAGGAATGATAAAACTCCAATCTTTGACTACATACAATTCCTAGAGAATTCACAGTCAAGTTTCAGGGTATCGACATATCGACACGCTTAACCATATTTGGCGCATTCTGCGAGAAGTGGAGACATGGCTCGACCAGTTGGAGGCGCAGCACATGTGGGGATCTGCAGTGATTATCCATGTCGATCGCTCGCAGAATGCGCTCAAAGGGGCAATTGGTGAGAATCTAGAAATCGGGTTGACAAAAGCTCGAGAAGCATTTAACAATCGAGATTTCCGCCGCTTTGTTTCGGGAAGGGATGTGATTAAATTATCAGTTGATCTAATTATAAGATAACAATCCTCTCGTTTGCCATCCATGGCACTCTGCAAAAGTACCGAGAAGCATCACCCTGCGATGATGCAACCTATGGCCTACTCCTCCCCTCCACCACCTTATGAGGCAACTATGCAGAGCACAATCCAGCATCAGCAAGATATATTGGTGCCCGATCATCAAAGACGTGATATTCAAAGCGAAGAATATCACACAACTCACCAGCAACATTATATCCAACCAGCAAATCAACATGATCAACAATGGAATTCCCTAGTATCTTACGGCCCTCCACAGTATGCGATGCAAAACTATATCTCGAATACTGGGCCTGGCCCCTCGAACGGCCAGGAGTATTTCTCAGATACACAGCTTGCGGTCCAACAGCAAATATCGCCACGACCCAAGCCATGCGTAATCCCCCGTAAGTCCACCCATCCCATAGGCCTTTGGCTTTTATTAAATACTAACATATTGGGGCATTTCAGAAGTGACAAAGGTCTTCGGAGGTTCCCACATGAGTCCATTTGTTCGGTCCCGCGCCCCAGAGCTAGAAGAACAATATGGTCTCTCCCCAAACGAGCTCCTCACCTTTATCGACGCACTCAATGAATCATTCCTCGCCAACCCTGCACTTCAAGCAGTAGGAGCTGTGGGAAGTATTGTCGGTTTTGTTCCCCTCGCCAGCACACAAATAGCTAGTAGCGCGATGAGTCTTGCAGCTGGACTGGGTACCGCGGGAGTATCATTTGTCCGCACAAAGCGATTCATGAAGAAGGCGAATGAAACTATTTTCAAGCCAAAGGGTCTTCATGTCCAGCTTTGCAAGACAGTTAAGATGCTCAACCATATTGGCATGGCGAATAACGGCGCCGTATTTGCGGGACAGCAGAGTCAGGCTATTCTGGAAAATATCCAGACCGAGGCTGGCCAGAATCCTATTTCGAGGAGAATGGAAGTTCTCGGTGACCGGGTCACAAAATTGACGTTTGATGATGTGAATGCTCCCATCGCACCGGACAACTGGATGAAAAAGGTTGGGGCATATTCGGCGCAGCGGGCTGAGTCGAAGCAGTTGGAGAAGTTGAACAAGAAACAAGTCAAGTCAGAGAGAAAGTCTGGCAAGCATGAGAGAAAAGCATCCAAGGCGGAACATAAACAAAATAGGGCCGATGGAAAGGTCGAAAATTTAATGGAGGAGATGGAGCAGGTTCGTATGCGCATTCAGAGTCTTGATTCCACTTCGCGACGATATGAGAAGGCGCACAAAGAGCTTCGGAAGGAGTGGAAGGAGCTTGAGAAGGCCTTGCGCGAAGCCGAGAGAGATCAGTGTCGAGGCGATAGGAAGAGTCGCAAGGTAGACGATAAGAGCCAGAAGCGACTGCATAAAGATGGGAGGAAGGTGAACAAAATCCTCTGGATTGTTATCATGCCCGATTTAGAATGTGCTTCTAGTGATGATGATGACTGGGACTCCGACGAGTCGATGGGGAAAGATCATGATTCGTGATTTGTAGGAAGTGATATAGAAGCAGACTGTATTTAATAATTTAATAGTTAGCACATGTTTACTGATATAGCGCGCCCGACTTTGAACTCCTTGAATTGTCAATAGTTTCAATACCTTATCTAGCTGGCGTGGCATGTTTTCGCGTCGCCCAATCTCAAATCCATGGATATCTGCAACGAGGGCCATGACAATTTCGAGCCATGACTTTGCCCTCCCGTCGCGATTGCCGTCAAGGTGTAGATAAGCAATATTTATCGGAAAGATGATCAAAAATGCCCCTGAGCTGCGGCGGAAACAGTGGAGGTGATAGTCGACCATTCGACACATTTCGACCGCAACGTCATGTCTCGTTCCCTCCATGGGAAGAAGTGGGTCGCTGAAATAGGTAGATTCCGTATTATCGGTATTTACACCGATCAATTCAAGTATGCGTGTTAACATCACCCGGATAGCGTTATAAGTCATCAGCTCGTTCGCCCGGTATGGGTTAGCAAACCAGAGAACGGACTCGAATGGACTTGGGGGAAGGGGTAAGAACGTTTCTGGATCAAGATCATTCGGCGAAACCGAGTAGGTTGAAGCTGGGAAGTCTTTCTCCCATTCCCAGCGCCAAGAGTATAGTGCTTGGAGGGAGGCTAAGAGCCTCTCCCGGAGCCTTGTTAAGAATTCTTCTTTGTGGAGAAGATTCACAGACCATTTGCCGAGAAGGTCCATATCTTCGAGATAGCCTGGGATATCGGATAGAATGTCATGTAATTTGTCCAAAGGAAGTTTGGCATCGAGTCCGACTTTTGCCCAAGGAACAGTCTTCCACTCTGTAGTTTCCAGAAAACAGTGTTTCCTTTCGACAAGGTAGCCAATTAACTAGATATAGTTAGGATTTTAATTAGAGGAATCACGGAAATCTTGGGATGGAGCCTCTTACTATGCATGATCTCAATGTTGGAAGCAGGGAAAATCCCACCCCAGATTGGTGACGCTGGGGTCCCCTGACGAATGCCTACATCCAGGTTAGTCGTAACCCAGTAAAAGAACAACGAAGAAGAGATACCAAGTGCGCGAGTCCTCTGTAATGATGGAGCCAGCCGGTCGGCTGATGAAATGTGACCAGTTCATAAATCGCCATACAGATAATCGCGACTAGGACATCGTCTTTCAAGACCAAGGTGGGATCCTGTAGCTGTGATCGCAGTGCACTTAAGGCACGAGAGTAAAAGCCAGCGCCTTTCCGCATCAGATCCGATTGGCGATGCGTCTTTGCAAAATAGCCTGTGGCTAATGCGCGGGTCGATGCAAAAGCCAACGCTCCGTCTTCCTCTGTGGACTGCAGAAGCCCAGAGACCCAGTTCGCAGACTCGGGTGATGATGGGTTCTCATGCCACGTGAATAATCGGTCCACCAAGTGTGAGATGAAGATTGTCTGCTCATCCCATGCTGGATTTGGGAGCAGCGGAAGCAGCGGGAGAAGCGGAAGTTCGGTGATGGAGCCCGGGGAGACAGCGCTGTCTGTGCTGCTGCTTGCTGGGCTGGGTGCATTGTGTTTTGGCGCACTTTTCTTGATCAGCTGTGTTGTGAGATCTTTGAACTCCCCATATTGAACATATCCATCGCATTGAAATCCGCCTTTGATGCAGCGTTCACAGGAGGGCTTAGCTTCATCTGGATTGGGTTAGCGATGGCTAACGCTTGAGAGCTTGAGTGGATATATCCTCGCACCGCATTTTACTCTTCGCCTGCGACAGGTCTTACAGCCTTTACTGCGACCACCGACACCGACCATTGTTTCTGGAGAAGGACCAGAAGGTGAGATGAGGTGCTGTAATAAAATGCCCCGCCTTACTTGCCAAAACGCAGTGGAGGCCTCAGGCCTGCGGGTCAGTCAGCTCACACTGCTTTGTGGCCTTTGTTGCACATTTGTCCCTGAATAGTAGTGTTATAATTCGTTTTAGCTATTTGTCTGAGGTATTTTCCCTCTAGATCAATCTCACATCCTTCATCCATCACATTTTCCATCCAGTTTCTCCCATCACTACCACACAAAAATTATTCACGAGGTTGAAAGGGGGTTTGTGCTGATGCTGGGCAGGTGGGGCGGCCAATCAGAGAGTTCCCTCACCTACCACTCTATACTTCTTGATCCGGACGTGTCGATATAAGCAACGAGTTCACCTCCGAGATGAAAATTGCAGACAGCAACAGAATTATTATTAGTAAAAATATATGTAGTAATATGAAGGTAGCTAAGGTGAGTTCATCGCCCTGCACATAACCCATCAAGACTAAGGGAAGATCTTCAAATTCGCCAGAACAGAACTTGGCCGCGCCAGCTTCACCCCGGCGTTGCAGAAATCTCGCACTCACGCAAATTCACGCACTCCACGGAGCCACGAGATCTTGCAATGACCACCTTGCCATTTTGTTGGTCTCCAGATCCGTTTTCATCTCCGCTTTTGCTTTTGCTTCATCCTCTCTTGTTCATCACCCTTTCTCCAAACACCTTACACCTTCCATCCTGGTACGCATCGAGACCTTTGATGAACCTTTCGAACTGCCTCAAGACACTCCAAGGAAATTGTCGAGCTGACAAAAGTTACACAGGTTACAAGAAAGAACTGATTGCACTGAAAGACTTCAACCCCACCCAATATGCCAAAGCAGAAAAAAGACCAGCTTCCTGGCATCTCGCTGCCTATCGACTTTGTGCCCAGCACTCGAGGAAATACAACGGCTTTCAATAATTGGCTTCAATGAGTTTCAATATTTTAGGTATGCCAATTACGAGTAATAATGCAGAAGGGTTTGGTATATAGTTATCTCTAACTTGCTGCTGCCAGACAAGTCGGGCAATTAGATCCGCTGCGACGAAAACTCAAAATTCATTTCTATAGCGCAATAGTACCAAAAGTAGCAGTCCTCACTATAGAACATCTAAAT